GGCGGTTCTTTTTCGGCGGTACTGCAAAGTGGCGGTACTTTTTCGGCGGTACTGCAATATGGCGGTTCTTTTTATTCGGTTCCCGGTACTTCGTTTTTTCGGCGGTACTTTTTCGGCGGTACTGCAAAGTGGCGGTATTTTTTAGGCGGTCGGCGGTTTTTCGTTTTCCGGCGGTACCGCCTTCGGCGGTTCCCGGTACCACCCGAATGTGGCGGTAATTCCCGCCAGTACCGGGACCGCCCACCACGGCGGGAAAAAAACGACGGGAATATTCCCGAGGTGTACCCTGCAAAAAACCACTCGGAAGAGAAACAAAATGATAGAAAGAAAGACCAGCTACCGCACCAAACGAAAAAGAGCGTCGAGGAGACCGATCAAAATAAAATAAAAAGAGAACGGGGAACGCTTCCCACACCAGTACAACCTTGCGAACCATTTGCTCCTCCTGCATCCATGCACCTAGAGCTCACCCATCTCTACACCTACACACCCAAGACTCGCTACCCCCAGAGAGCCACATACCACACCACCAGTGTCCTGATGATCTTACGCAATACCGGCCATCCACTGTGCAGTGTCGCTGTTGGCTGAGCCCGCGTGTCTGTCTCGACGTTGCCCGTTGGCCCGTTGGTGCATATTAAGGAGAAAAAAATACACACACAGAAAGACTACCCATTCGAGATATACCCACAGCAGTCGAACGGGATGTGGTGGAGTCTTTTCAGTAAGTGGAGGAAAACCGGCTGGGTACTGGACTTATTTCGAGTCTTTATAAGTTTATACATATTCATAGGATATGCATACCACGTTCTGCGGGTTTTCAGACTGACCTCCGCAAACCGGTCGCCCCGGTGGTTTAGTGGGTAGCCTCGCAGCCTGCCAGGGGCCGGATCATGGGTTCGAGTCCCGGCAGAGAGAGTTTTTTTTCTCACTAAATAAANGCTGTGAATGCGCCAAGAGTTTTTTGTCAACGCCCCGTCAAGCCCGCGTGTCTGAACAACAAAACATGCAGTACTCAAAGAAGGAGCCCCAGCCCGCCCTATTTCTTGGCTAAAGAAGAACCTACCAATAGGTGCAGCAGCGGCAAGTCCAGCTAAACTCCTTTGAGCTTCCCGTGATTCAATATGAATGGCGACGCCGTAGAATTGTATTCAAACTAATACAGCAGTACAAGGTTCGTAAACCATAATAATCGACTTCGTAAGTCGCGAGGGAAGGAATTGCTGTACCCTTCTCGCGATAAAAATACCTCACGCATGAACCGCAGGAGGGGGTCCAACCCCCCCCCTCCTATGTGACCCCGGTTGGGTCGTCTAGCTAGTAGAAGTGGAGGATAGGGGCCAGAGGGGCAGACGAGAGAGTCCAATGATGAGAGAAAAACAAACAACAAACAACATACGCGTGTGTGTGCACTTGTTGTGCACAAGTGCACTTGTGCACACGCGCACACACACATGTATGCCTCCCAACGTCCCGACCCCAACCCCCACTGTGTCTGCACGGTCTACATTTCTCTGCACCTCTGCTGACGCCACTACGTAATGCCTCGGCTGCTGGAAAGTGCATGTGGGGCAGTTGGTTTGAAGCAGCAGATGTACACCTATCCAGGAATCAAATGCATGCTTGTTTTATTTGTGTTCCGAATACGAAATATATGTCACTCTCCATCGCAACCTTCACTCTCCATTTCGCCAATATAGTGTTAAATTCGTTGTTGAAAAAAGACAGACTGAAAGCATGTGATTCCCATCACTCACACCAGCAAACCACTATTATTAAAGTTGTCTAGTGTAGTGGACGTCCTCATGCTTTTATACAAGAAAGAGCAGAAGCAAGGAAGGTAGAGGAAGAGGCCCAACAGAGTACTTTCGCAAAACAGCAGTAAAACGAAGGGAGCCACATGTCCCATCACTCGGAAACTCAAGAACAAAGACTATACCTCAGCAGTCAGTGTGGTGCCGACGACTGAGCTAAATGTACTCCCCATGTTTATTTCAAACGCAAGCCAGGGTGTACTGTGTTCGTTTCTCGTAGATACTCGCTGTCGTGCGGTTGGCACAGCGGTCGGCCAACCGGTGTACTGGCAGCACGCTTTCTGCTTCTCGGTGATATGTCCATGTCGCAGCGTGCCTTCTCTACGCACTGATGATCACTAACGAGCGAATTCGTTTTCTATCATAGCTGACCGCCCATGCGCAAACTAGACTTTCGAGCACGTTCTTGAATCGGATGTTTTCTGCCACCCTAAGGGTCAAAAATGGCTTCAAGGGTGAAATCATTGCTACACAGGGCTCGAGACGACTCTTCTTGCTAAAAGGCAGATCAAACACAATGAATGTAGAACTGAATAACAATTCATTCGGGGGGGGTGTTCCCCCCAACTTTTACCCCGGCGAACGACCACACTGAAAATATTGCTACGGCTCCAAACCACCCTTCTTGAAATACATAGCAGTGGTGACCAGAGCATGTACGGCCTTTTCACTGAGGAGTGTTCTTTCCCGCCAACTGTATACACCCAATACTGTCCACCTGCAGGACGTACGTGCATGAAACAATCCACACGGCACTAACGAATCGTTCACTGTCACTATGGCTGTGCCAATAATACACACCACTAGTCGAGCACCAAAAGCAGTGATAACATCCCCACCACGAATGTCAGCACGTAGGCTATGCCGATGCCGGTTTCGCAGCGTACCCCGCTGTCGGTGTCGCCATCAGGGTCGTCATCTACGCAAAGACCCAAGTGGTCGTCACAAGACTCGTCGAAGTCCTGACCCCCGACCTGAAAAATCAAGTACCCGTCTTCGTGGTTCACTTGGTTGCTGCAGAGAATCAACAATCTGACGTAGCGGTTGTGCGAAGCGGCCTCGAGATTTAGACTCCGGGCCTGTGGCGATGGACAGCCGCGAGAGGAGCGGCGTTATGATGTGCTTAGACATGTATATAGTCTATAGAGAGAGGTTGCTTGTTGAGGGGTAGAAGCGGGCTACAACACATACATGCAGACAGCATTCTTCCGTACGATGTGGCGAGGTCTATGAGTATGAGCACCACCCGAGGCCCGGCTCAGCACCTTACCCCCCCTACAACTCCCCCACATTATTGTCTCCAAACTTTAGTAACTCTGATCCATCGTGGCTGCATGCCGATCGCGGTACAAGTACTTTCTGTATACGCTAGGCCGGTCTCTCTCCTTTCGCTCTACCAATATTCGACATAATCAAGCGCGTTGTTCGGTTTGAAACCTCTCACCGACTGGATCGTGGCGATATGTAGCTGGTCAAAGTCGGTGGTGAAGAAAACGTGTGTGAGGTTGTACCGCTGGCCGTCGCTCCCAGTAAACCAGGAGTACCACGCTCCATCCTCTCTAAGGTACTCGGCCTAATAACCATCGGTCGAGATCGGTGCTTGTGAAAGGTTACGGTTTGACCTAGGCACCATCACTCAACTCTCTCAGTTGAAGATAGACGCCCCATCGGTTACTACTGATGCGTCATGACTTCCCTTCTTTTCAGCCGGTGCAGCTGGTGCGTGCGTTGCCAACGCAACGTGTCGGCGATCCGCATCATCTGGTGTTCGCGCTTGGCACACCACCAAGCATTCACCAACATATGTCCTTGCGAAAGGCTTGCGTACTGCGAGTACCCTCGAGAGACACTTTCGTGCGTGATGTCTTGGCTGATGAGGCTACGAGAGCAGCTTCACAACAAAACGGACGGATGGTCACGTGTTTATTTACCGCCCTTCTTGCACTTCAGTCAATACTCGAGGAAGCTGCGGACCTCGAAGAATTATGCCCTTTTCTAGAATCGATTCGATCAGCATACACGCGGGCGGTAATTTCTTTCCTTACCATATCTCAGTTGCACCTTCAGCTGACTTCAGACCCATCAAGCTCAACTATTTATTGGGTTGCCTTCGTTCAGTTGAATGTCCCCTGGAGAAAAAGGCTGGGCCAGAGGCATCTCGATCCCGGGCACGGCTGGATCTAGTAGAGTCAGCAGCGAGCGGAGGGGATGAAAGTTGATTGCTGAAGCGAGGGTAGTGGGCAGTAATATTACAACGAAGAGCTGTTCTGCAAAATCTACGACATGTTCTATGAAGATCTCAGATGCTGTGGATTGTTGGGGTTCCCGATACTCGTTCTCGTGACACCTCTAGAAGGTCGTCGTTGAAGGACGCGCAAACGAACATGGATTTAATGTAGGTTCTTCGACTGGGTCACTCCTCTTAGCACTAACACGATTAGCACATCGACTTCGAAGCATAAAAGGACCAAGCTTCGGTGAAGTAAGAACGCGCACCAAGGTCTGAGAAGCTTCTGAATGCTGTCGATTATCTCGCGCTAAAGGTGTTTGCAGAACAGATAGATCAAGATCGGCAGAAGGACTGCTACCTTCGAACCGGAAGAGCGCCATGTTAACATCGAACGTTGGGCTGTAGTTCGTAAAGCCCACTTGGAATAGCACGCAAGAATACTCCTCCATGACGACGGGATCCTCTTGGTTGCAAGCCAGAGCAGTTCAATATTCCGGCCGTACAGCGAATCGGCCACGGCCGGAGCAATCGAGGTCGGAATTCCAGATATCATGACCTCCACGTCGCCGATTGCGTAGAAAAATCCTTCGAAGGACACTATCGGGGCTGCGTCGGAGCTTTCCCAGGTCGCGGGAAAACTGAGCTCAGTTTTCCACTCCCCGTCGGCCGCCTGATGTCGCCAGGAGTCACCTGTGCAATCAATGGCTTCCTCTCTGTGCCGTCATCCGCTGCGACAACGGACAAAGAGAAGAGGGAATTCGGGGCGAGCGTTGATGAGGGGAGCACGGCCGCGGCTGCTGGCCGTATGCTGTTCTTGCATGGTTATTCAGGATGTCGTAGCAATCGCGAAGTGTAGGGGCGCAACCGGCTGAAAACACATCGAGGCACACCACTACGTGCACCATATTACGGTAGAAGAGTAGAATACTGCAGTAAAATCATGTAAATCATGGAACCACGAAGGGGTTACGTGGGTGAGAACTGATGATCTGCAACAAAGGCTTGGAGAGAGCGCCCACTCGTGACAAGCCTCCCCAAGCCTAACGAGGAAGCGTGGAGCGCGAATAACAGTAGACTATCATGCAGCTGAGCGCGACTCAGCTGGCCGCGGCCGGGTCGGCTTCTGCGGGGAAGGCCGTTAAAGGGTTGGTGTGCTTCGACACGAGCTCGGCCATTGGGGCCCTCCCGACTCTGGCACTCGCGCGAGTCTGCACCAGCGGGGGCACTTCTCTGGAAGGGAAGGACAAGATCTCTGTTCACCACATTGCTGCCATTGGTGTTGGCGCTGGGGCAGGGTACACAGGAGACGATGGAGGACTTCCTGCGCGGCGCGGAGACCCAGGAGCACGGATCGACAGGCGCGATAGNGGGTCGGCTTCTGCGGGGAAGGCCGTTAAAGGGTTGGTGTGCTTCGACACGAGCTCGGCCATTGGGGCCCTCCCGACTCTGGCACTCGCGCGAGTCTGCACCAGCGGGGGCACTTCTCTGGAAGGGAAGGACAAGATCTCTGTTCACCACATTGCTGCCATTGGTGTTGGCGCTGGGGCAGGGTACACAGGAGACGATGGAGGACTTCCTGCGCGGCGCGGAGACCCAGGAGCACGGATCGACAGGCGCGATAGCGGCCAGGAAAGCTTTCGGAGCGCGGGCATTCATGGGAGAGGTGCTCGAGGTGCTGCGGGATTTCGCCCAAGAGACGGACACGTACGTAGTCCTGCCGGCTCTGCCATCGTCGGGAAAGCCCCCGCTCGCGAGTCCGGGGCGGCTCCGCCGGCCTCAACTCCGGAGGCGACGGCGGCTCCCGCAGCGGCGGCGGCTGTCCCAGTAGCGGCGGCCGTTCCGGCGGCGGCGGCCCCAGCGACAGCGGCAGCAGCCTCGGCATCCGCGGCACCCGCCCCCGCTGCGGCGCCCGCAACGGCGGGAGAGCCAAGCTCAGCGATCGCAACAGCCCAGCAGCAGCAGGCAGCCAACCACCAGGTCATGGTGTCGGCGGACGAAGCGTACATGAAAGTGGTGCAAGCGGAATCAGGCAACGCGGAGGTGAGGGTTACGGCCCCCGTTGCTGACTGCCTCGCGGGGTGGTCTCGTCAAAAAATAAAAAAAATAAAAAAATCGCCAAATGTTCGTCGCCCGTTCTAATTCCAAGACGACCCTGATCCCGTCGGGGATCATCGACTTGTTTAAGTTATACGTACTTCCGCGCATTGTTTAAGTAGTACTCCAATATGTCCGATCCTTCGCGTCAAAATTCCTTAGATGTTTTCGACGATCGTCATGCCTTTACCACCCCGGTCCCCGCCGAAATTGCAACGGAAAGGTTTCATGTGCATTAATATTAGTATCAGGTTCTTTGGATATCCCACGCGGGCCGGTGATACGACGTAGGAAAGACGGTCGTAATTTCAAAGGAAATAACTGTCGGTGGTCTGGCAGTTGGGAGTGCTGTACAGGACGGACGATACAAGTTGTCACGGGCCGCGTATACGTGACATGGGATTTCTCTGCAAGTATTGACCGTCTGCGCGTATCGCCTCGAGATGGGGCGTACCACCCATCAAGTGTTTAACGTGTGCGTGCTTCATCCTGGACATACTTTCAATGGATCGTGGCACCTCACGAAAATCACTTGTCGGCGTACCTTTCCTCTATCTACCTTCGAAATAATTTCTTCGATATTGCGCCTTTCACATGCTGCATACCGAGCACCATAGGCCTCAACGCTGCGATATAGGTCCACGAACAGTCAGAACAAGTGCAGATTGTTGCTGCCCCTCGAAACGACTCATCGTCGGGAGCTTTTTAGACGTTCTTAACCTTTCGCGCGTACGTGGATAGGGAGATGCTTGTTCTCGAGCCATACGTTCCCCTTTGTTGACGATATTGCGATACGACTACAGGGGTAGTTGTCACTACGACTCGCTCGCGAGAGGTTTGGGAGCCATTTCGCTGGCAGTCCTCGATGCCACGTGCCTCGGGATGAGTGTTTCGAGCCGACTCGTCTCCGTCTCCGATACGATGAGCTTGCGACTGTTTTTTGACGCCGCTTCGTGGGATGCCCCCGATGCGATGTGTTTCGGGATGCGTGCTTTCGAGCCATCCGTCTGTTTCGATTTACGACGCCCTTGATACAACATACGATGCGTTTTCGGGATGCGTGCTTTCGAGCCATCCGTCTGTTTCGATTTACGACGCCCTTGATACAACATACGATGCGTTTTCGGGATGCGTGCTTTCGAGCCATCCGTCTGTTTCGATTTACGACGCCCTTGATACAACATACGATGCGTTTTCGGGATGCGTGCTTTCGAGCCATCCGTCTGTTTCGATTTACGACGCCCTTGATACAACATACGATGCGTTTTCGGGATGCGTGCTTTCGAGCCATCAGTCTGTTTCGATTTACGACGTCCTCGATAAAACCCTGTCCCGTCCTCGATACGAGGGGCGGGCGATGGCTTGGGACGCCATGTCGTACGCCGTCCTCGATACGATGTGTTCGGGATGCGTGCTTTCGAGCCATCCGTTTGTTTTCAAATTACGATGTAGTAGCGAAACGTTTGGCCCCACGTCGTTAGCTGCCCTTGATGCGATCGCGGCTGACGACACGGCGGGGGCCGCCCTCGGTGCAATTTCGTTTTCCACACAGGTTCGTAGCTCGTTCCTCAAGGCCCTTCGGGTTACGAGGAATGCCGGTCGGGTGTGTTCGTGGCATGACTTGTGAGGGGCCCACGTAGAGGCCCACACCATCATGGTAGTCGTGGGGGAATCGGCCGGCGACATAAAGATAATCTCGGATACGATAGCCAGGGGCGACCGTCTGGTAATAGCGCTTGGGCCGACGCACGGCGCGAGGGCGGCGACCGATGTGTTGGACATGTTTACGGGTCTGCAACCAAATGCTCACGGGGTCTCCAACGATCTGTTTTCAGCAGACTATGTGCGTATACGCAAGAAGTCGACTCCGGTCGCGGGCATGAACGCCGCCATGGGGACGGGGCTCGGCCTCCCCGTCGTACCCGCGCCATTCCCGACGTTTGGACCAGGGGGGGGAGTTTTAGGCATCCACCCTTCCCCGCTTCCCCTGCAGATGGCGCTGCAGCCGGGGGTCCAGCCGCAGGTCCCGCGGCAATCTCGTCGGCAGGCACGATCGCAAGGCGCGTCACATGAGGTGGCCGGACACTATACCCAGGGGCCGCCCGGTCGGGGCGGGGGCGGCCGGGGGAAAGCAGCGGGGGNCGTCTGGTAATAGCGCTTGGGCCGACGCACGGCGCGAGGGCGGCGACCGATGTGTTGGACATGTTTACGGGTCTGCAACCAAATGCTCACGGGGTCTCCAACGATCTGTTTTCAGCAGACTATGTGCGTATACGCAAGAAGTCGACTCCGGTCGCGGGCATGAACGCCGCCATGGGGACGGGGCTCGGCCTCCCCGTCGTACCCGCGCCATTCCCGACGTTTGGACCAGGGGGGGGAGTTTTAGGCATCCACCCTTCCCCGCTTCCCCTGCAGATGGCGCTGCAGCCGGGGGTCCAGCCGCAGGTCCCGCGGCAATCTCGTCGGCAGGCACGATCGCAAGGCGCGTCACATGAGGTGGCCGGACACTATACCCAGGGGCCGCCCGGTCGGGGCGGGGGCGGCCGGGGGAAAGCAGCGGGGGGCGCAGGGATGGGAGTACCGTCCCCCGGAGGATCCGCTAGCCACTAACAAATGGTAGCCGGCGTGCGTAACCAACGCAACCTCGCCCTGCAGCAGAGGCAATTGGCGAACCCGGGGGTGCCCGGGCAGGGCGAGACGTGCCACAAGTGCCGGGCCGCCAACCGTGATCCGAACCACCCTCACCTCACATGTGCCTTTTGGATATGCGGCAATTGCAAGGAGGCAGGGCATCGCAAGGCGGCCTGTCAGAACCTGACCGTGCCGTGAACGAGCCGTAGTATACGCAACAAAAGGAGTTTGGGGGGGGACACGGTAACAATCTATGAACGGGGGGGGGTACTCATAGTCGTGCATGCCGTAGTCGTTAGACCATTGACCTCGCATCCCTACAAAGCCGGGACGGAGCACGCCGGGTTCTCACCGGACCAGGGGGGGGGGGATACTCGAGCGTTGCGCACGGTTGGATTTGTTTCGCGGGTTCGAGATAGCGTTTCGTGTTCCGATAGGACGATGCGGGCGGTACCCGTCGGACGACCATATCCCACTCGTGGTTCGCATCATTTGCCAAAGCATGTCAGTGTAACATTGGCGCAACATGAGCGCTGACCCATTCAGTGCGCTCCTTCGATCGCATGGGATCGAGAATAACACGAGAATACCAGGTGATATCCTCGACGTGCGTTGTTCGATCGACTGTCGGCGGGAAATAAATCCATTCTACAAGCTGGGCCAGCCAAGAAGCTAACATTCATTCTTCCAGCCATAAATTTTGAAGGAATCAGAATTGGAACGAGCTCGGCACATCTGCTCAATCAGCCAATCACAGCGGATTTCAGGCCCATGCCTCTCGAAATCTCGAAATCGTGTTGAACACATTCTCTCCAAGAAAGATAACCCTCCGCATTTTATCTGGGTTTAAGACTGGGGAAAAAAAATTATGAAACGCTTTTTTTTGCGGCGGAATTTCATTTTTTTTTGAAATTGTGCACAACGGATGCACACAGCACCCGCTGGCACCGAGGAGTGCACAGCATGGAGAGCCTAGTAGCAGCAGTCACACGCAATGGCTGGCAGAGAACCTCTGAATCCGTATGCTATCCAGAGAGGTCTAAGGGAAAGTGGCGGCTACGGCTCATGTTCACAAGCCGGAAAGGAGACAGGGCAACGAAGAAGTACGGCCCCTTGTGCAACACAGAGCAGGAAGCGCTTTGTGGCAGCCTTGCCTTCAGGTACAGCTGGGAGGGCAGCCAACGTGGTCAGCCCTGCGAGGTCAGCAAGGAGAATCTAGTCCCACCTGTTGCAGCGGGTACTACGCTTCCAGCAGGCAAGTCGTGAACTGCGCAGTTGTACACTTGTACAAACACGATGTGGACATGATCATGCAATTTTGATTTTTTTTGTTTTTTCTGGGGTCGGAGCAACGGCAGCACACGTGACACCGTGCCAGCGACTGCTGCTGTACCTACTGCACGCGGCCAGTCATGCCGCAGGCTGGACTTACGTCGAGAATGTTCTTTTAGGGACGTCAAGTAGGTGGCACTCTTATATAAAGAGATGGCGGCGTATGTTGATTTGTACACGACCACATTTTTTGGGAGATGTGGTCGTCAGCCGAGATTTTTGAATTTTCGACGGCATGCTTCGCACGCACAAGTGTAATCGCCCAACGTGATATCCACGTTCACATGAGTTGCCTTCATTACTCGTCTGTTGTTCGGGTACTAGAGGCGCCTACAGCAGTACGCACAACATTTTTTGCTACAATATGGTACCTGTACACCCCGATGTGTTTGCTGCAACGATGTGCTGCCGTGTATGACGTAAGATAACACACACCCCTGGATGGATTTCGAAAGCTCGATTCATCACCAGCAGAACGAGTCGCAGCGCCGAAAACGGCGGTGTTGAAGCTGTCTTGTCGAGACCTCTCCGGAAACGTATCGTGTTGTTCATGCATCCTCTTCGTCGTGGAGTAATCGAGCTGTGGAAATCGACCCAGGGGGTGTGTTATCATGTGTCGTACTTCGGTTTGAAAGTAAAACTCTGCATGAAAATGCGTCGATGTCGTCACACTTTCGCGAAAGGTTGACCGGTTGTTGCACCTCTGCACATCACGTACTACTTGGGTGATCTCCAACTCTGAAATACTTGCTGCAAGTATTGCTGTAGTGCAAAACAAAGAATAACAATGTGCCGCACTGCCTCGTGCTTCAAACTCCCAACCGCCGCTCAAGCAGGAAAATCGCTCAACAGCCTCGGGATCATCGGCCGACCACAGGAACGGCAGTTCAAGCGACAGCGGCGGGCTGGCTCCGACGCGACCCGCGCGGAATTTGCGATGCAGCAGATGCTCACCAGCCGCGAAAAACGCTCGATGGAGCGGGGTTGGAGAAGGAGAGACAGAAAGCTTCGAAAGGCCTTCGATCAACGTGGAGCCTACCTCGGCGGCCGGATCAAAGACTTGACGGCAAACGTTGTAGCCAACGAGCAACACATCAAGCGTCTCCAGGACACCCCCCGGACTGGCCACCTCCCCAGCCTTCTCCTCCCCCTCCCCCTCCCTTCCGTGGAGGACGGTGAGAACGCGGGCGATAGGACGTGGGCCGAGGACACGGGAAAACCGCCGGAGGAAAAAGTAGCCGAGAAGCAGATAATCCGGTTGTGGCAGCAAGCGTACTCATCGTTGGAGGTGCTGAAAGAGGAGCGGGAGCGCGACGTCAAGCAGCTGGAGCTCACGCGGAAGGCGAACGAGGTTTTGTCCGGCTGCAAGCATGCAACGGATGCCGCCGTGAAGGAAGCCGATGCCGAACGGTTTGACCTGCTCAACGAGGCGTCGTTGGTTCGGCACGAGGCTTCGCTCCTGCGGATGGCGGCAAAGGTAGCAGGTTCTAGTCCGCAGGCTTATGCGCCATCAACGATCCTGAGGTGGCTCAGAGACTTTCGGAAGGAAGGTGGTTTCAGGCGGGATGCACGGGGTGCGCACGAGCCGGACTGGATCATGTCAGAGGAGGATCTGAAGAGTGCGTTGCTGGCGTGGATGATATCACAACCGCGTTTCACCATCAAGGACGTCTGCAAGTACATCAACGGGCCTCTGCTCCAAGACGACAAGGAGGATCTTTCCAGGCTCCATGCGTACCAGGTGAACCTTCCGGTTTCGATGTCCACGACGCACTCGTGGATGATAAGGTTGGGTTGCAGGTACGAGCGGGCCACCAAGTCGTTCTACACGGACACCCACGAGAAGAAGGAGGTAGTCGAGTACCGCGGCGAGTACATAGAGAAGAGACGCAAGATGGCGCTGCGTCAACCCTTGTGGGTACGAGTGCAACGAGCCGCTCTCAAGCAGGAGGAGGTGGACCGACTCGACAGCCTTAAGTCGCGAGGCCCGGAAGGAGATTTCTACGCAGAGGTGTACGACTGCAAGATCGATGGACAAGACTGCATCGAATTCCACGTAGATCTCCTGCGCGACGACGGCTCCGTCGATAACTTCGACAAGCTCCGCGCCGCACTTGGTCCAGAGGGTGGGGACTACAGCGTTCGCTTCGATCAGGCCGCTGCTGCCCAGTGCGAGTATTTTCACCCCACGAACAAGTGCAGATGCGGCAAGAAGGTGCACCACATCGGGCAGGACGAGAGTGCCTACAAGGCGTATGCACGCGAGGGCAAAGAGTGGGTGATTCGAGGGGTGCGCGGACTGCGGAAAAGGACGGAGGGGCCGGGGGAAATGGTGTCTGGTTTTCAGGACGAAAGACACGGTTTCGGCTTACCTATTTCGGATGCCGACCTGGCGGCGGTGAACGCCAAACGCGATGAGGAGGGGAACGGCAAAAAAACCCTGACGCGAAGCCCTGGACTCCGGTTTCTTGAATACGGAAAAGGCAAGGATGGGTGCTGGGGCTACGACCAGTTCGAAGAACAGGTCGAAGACGTGATGGATGTCTTGGAGCACATCGACCCCGACAAGCAAATAGTGTTCGAGGTCGACCACTCGTCGGGNCCTGACGCGAAGCCCTGGACTCCGGTTTCTTGAATACGGAAAAGGCAAGGATGGGTACTGGGGCTACGACCAGTTCGAAGAACAGGTCGAAGACGTGATGGACGTCTTGGAGCACATCGATCCCGACATGCAAATAGTGTTCGAGGTCGACCACTCGTCGGGCCATGGGAAGCAGCGAGAGGATGGTTTGCATGTATCGAACATGAACGTCAAGTATGGGGGGAAGCAAAAGGTGTTGCGGGATTCGGTCATGACGGAGGGGTGCTTGGGTCCGGAGGAGGCGAAAATGTATTTCGCCAATGGCAGGTGGAGCACGAAATTCCGCGAGGGGGCAGTGTGTGTTGACCAGAAGCTGACGGTGGGCCAGACTCAGACTAGCACTTTCGCGGTAGGTGCGCCTCCTCCGTTTTTCGAATGGGATGCTCCGCGCAAAGACAAGAAGAACGCGAAGGGGAAGGTCAAGGAAGGGTACGAGGGGAAAGCGAAAGGGGTCAGGCAGTACCTGTGGGAGCGTGGGTGGTGGAAGGACGGCATGTCAACAGGGGCGGGAGTCAGTGACGATATGCACGTGGAAAAGGTTCTGCAAGCCTTGCCTGACTTTAAGAATGAGAGGACAGCCCTGCAGCACCTGGTAGAGAGTAGGGGACACATTCTTTTGTCGTCTCCCAAGTGTCACCCGGAGGTAGCGGGAGTAGGGATCGAGTACTCGTGGGGGTTTTCCAAGCAGAAGTTTCGGCGGAAGATCAATGATGAGGTCCCGAAGCACTTGCACGACAACATCGAAAAGTCGCTGTGCATAGACAAGTACTTGACAATCGGTCGGGTGCGGCGCTTTGCCCGGCGAACACGAGACTNGAGAGTAGGGGACACATTCTTTTGTCGTCTCCGAAGTGTCACCCGGAGGTAGCGGGGGTAGGGATCGAGTACTCGTGGGGGTTTTCCAAGCAGAAGTTTCGGCGGAAGATCAATGATGAGGTCCCGAAGCACTTGCACGACAACATCGAAAAGTCGCTGTGCATAGACAAGTACTTGACAATCGGTCGGGTGCGGCGCTTTGCCCGGCGAACACGAGACTACTGCCGGGCTTACCGCGAGATTGCGCTTCGCGGGGTAGTCATCAGGAACAAGGAGTTCATCGAGAAGATGCGCAAGATCCAAAAGGCCCACCGCAACATTTTGGACATGGAAACTAGTTTTCTTGGCGACCAGTAACAACGTCGGCCGGCCGATGGCGAGGGGGGGGGGTCTCGAGTTGTGTGTGCATGTTTTGTTTTTTTCTGCGAGATAAACGGGTGTGGCGGGGGTGTGTTTAATGAGACAGGTTCAAGCTGTAGTTTGCATCATTTTTTCGGTAAGGTTAACCGGTGCGAGAAGTTGTGTGTGTGTGTGTAGGTTGATGTGTCTGTCAGTTTGAATGTTGTTTGTAGATAAGCGGGTGTTTTTTAACCGCTGTCAATCAACGAAGTGTTTTTGTTTTTTGCACAAGGAAACGTCAACTTTTGTGCGATTTTGTGCAACACATTTGTCATGCGTTTTTGGAGCGCTTACCTTCAGATTACAACCTCTTGCATGTGTGTGTGTCACGTCAATACGATCGATAAGCACCCACACCTACCTGTCCAACCAAAGGAGTACAGTCAGCATCTGATCTGTGCGCCTCTTGCCATCAGGCCGCTTTCGCGCCCCTTTTCTCGGGCTGTGAGGCCTTCATTTTCCTACACAATTTCCGCCCCTGCACCCAGGTATCGAGGTCATTACGCAATTTGCTATTTCCGAGCCGGTTTTCACGAATTAGAAGCTGAAATTTTGATATGTAATTGGGAGTGGTCATACAAATGCCCCCTAGTCAGCTGCCGTTTATTTATTTCTTTAAGCCACAAAAATCCCTATGTTAGGATTCTCAGTTATTGAATATAGGGATACCTCACCAAAAAAAAAAAACGGCACCTGACTCGGGGGCGTTTGTAACACTGTTTCCAATCACATATCAAAATTTCGGGTTCTAATTCGTGAAAACCGGCTCGGAAATCGCTTCTAACCATTTTGTTGACGTCTTGGCTGGCCCACCTTGTAGCTTAAACGAACCGTCTGGAACAGGCGGTCACGTTGAAAAGAAAAAAGAAAAAAGTCGGCGATGCCACAGAGAAATGCCTCATTATGTCATTTTTTACCCTTCGGGACAGATTCTAGATATGGCGCGAATCCTAGCATATCTCGGCCGTTTTTTCATGCACGTCAACCCACGATGGCTTCAATGAACCGCAGTGTCAACGCCGTCATCATGAAAAAAAAACAATAAAAAACAAAATCCATTTGAATTTATTGAGCAGTACAGCATAGGTACAAAACGGTATATAGATGACATTTTTACGGTGCGATATGATAACCAGACTGGACCAACATTTGAAGATATCATATAATACATGATATATATAAGGAGGGTAATCAATATGGTGGTATGGTCCGTTCGGGCAAATATTCACAATCTTGTTTTTCGCGATATCTTTCGAAAAAAACGATTTGGAAAGTGAAACAACTGTGGGCGTGACCGCGGCGTCGAGCTTCGTCGATATCCGACGAGTTTTTGGTGATTGGGTGAAATGCGACATTTTTGTCCAAAATGACCCACGGAGCCCCCACCCCCCCCCACCCCCTCATGACCCCACGGAGCCCCCAAAGTACACCACGACCCCCCCTCGACCCCTCCCTTCTACACGTATATGCCTTCAGAATATCAGTTAAACCGTTGTCAATCCATATCTACATTATTTACACGTTACCTATGTACACACATACATACAATACCGCCGTTTACTTTCTACTCAACCCTTGGCTGGTGAAGGTGCTGCAAACAATGCATGCAGCAATCACATCCGTTCTCTCTAAGCAAGTCCGATACCAAGAGAGACAGCTATAGCGTTGAGTTGGTGACCATGANAGACAACACACCGCGACATATAGATACGTACCCTCCCCACTCACGCCTGAGCGTGCCCGCCCAACCATTTCCTCAAAAAATTCATCGTGTTGCGCAAAATCCACAGCCGTAGCTGCTCCTTCCGGGAGGCTCTCTTGCTCGTCCACGTGTTGAAGGCTTCCCTGGTGGCTGCCATCGACTTCTTGCGCACTTCCTTCTGCTTCGCCGGTGTCCTGAGGCTGAACATCATCATCAGCCTTGTCGCCGCTCTCTCCGTCAAGTTCGCCGGGGCCGCGAGAGCGGTCGCGGCTTGCGTCTAGTGCGTCGAGAAAACTGTCCTCGCCGCTGGAATAAAGAAGCTCTGCAGCTCTAGCCTGGTCATCCTCACCAAACCAATCTTCCAGCGGAACACCAACACCCGAACATACCAGCATGTCGGTCTCGCTCTCGCTGCTGTCGCCACGGCTGGTGCGGTCATGTTCTTCTTGCGGGCTGCAGATCTTCTCGGCATCATGATCACTGCTGTCCGCACCAACATCTCCCACCTCAACATCCATCTCCACCGCACCTTCAGTCTCCATAATTTGAGGCGAACCATGCTGCCCTTCCTGCTGCTGAGCTGGGGGCTTCAGCCATGCTGCCAAGCTCCCCGCCATCCCGGCGTCCTCCTTGCTCCACCGCGCTCGCCTGTGGCGATGCTGCGTCGACCGGTGGAGAAGTTGCACCGCGTTTTTTCGCGCAGGCGGCGCGACTTCGGGCGCCACCGCCATTGCTGTGCGAGCTGCTGCAGACACCGCAGCGCTCGCTACCGCAGAACCGAACGGCAGTTTCGCCTGCCCGCGACCTGGCTCGCCACCCGCATCCTCATCGCGCCAGTCATCGTCGTGGTCGTTGGTGTGTATGGGAGAAATATTGGCGCCTTCATGGTCGGAAGAGGGAGGAGAGTCGTTGCCTACAGCAGGGTCCGCAGGGGGCAAAGGGGCCTTCCGAATCGTGCGGTCGGCGTTTCTTGGCAGCTTGCGCTTACCCTTTGGGCGACCCATGTGCCCGGAGCGCGTGTGCGTCTTTCGTTGCGTGGGTAAAGGGTGTGTGAGTGTGTGTCCTCTGGTGTGTGTGTGGCGTGAAAAAATTCCCCGAGGGCGTGTGAAACCACCCGAAATATCTCCGAAACCCTTGTTTTTTTTATAAATCGGAAAAAAATCATCGGTGGGAAATCACGAGAGGAATCGATTGCAGCACTTTATTTTTGAATCGTACGGTTGGATTGTCCCCAAGAACCTAAGCAAAATACCCTCCAATATCCGGTTTTTTGCCCATAACTCCGTTATTTTTTTGTCAAATTGGAAATCGGCAAAAAATCATCGGTGACAAATCACGAGAGGAGAGCTGTCCAAATCCGGTCTCAGATTTTGTGTCTGCAATAAACACCGCCCTCCAAAAAGTAAGCAAGATTTCTTGAATATCTGAACATACATATCGAGCGAAGGACGAAAAAAAAAAGAAGTCTCCGTCCGAAGATGCGCCTTGAAACGTCGATGTACGCGGTATTTTCAGATTTCGGAATAATTAGACCAAGATCCTTGAGTGCAATGAGGGAGAAAGCGAGGAACGGACTGGGAAGGACAGCAACGAGAGCGTGTACGGACGGAGCAGGTCGAGTGGCGTTTTGCTCGGGCTGACTACAGCGGCGCCGGATGGAGCAATGGCACCGGAGCATGCGGGCGACATCGACCCGTGGCGCACGGACAAACATTTCTATCTGTGTTATCAATTTTTTTCGTTTTTTTTTCTGACTTTCCGTGTTGGTTTTGTGTAATGACATCTTCACCGGTTTTCTAGAGAGACCCGTCAGAGATGGCGTGCCTAACCCGGGTGCATTGGTTTTGTGCCTGATCGTGGAAGACCCCTTCAATGTGGAACGATTCTTAGCTAGTGTCGATATTTTTCACTGCAGTGCCTACACAGACGATCGGGAGAGATTCGGGTCATTGTCAATTGCTGCTATGATGACTTTGTCTGGTTGGTTGTTCTTTTTCACCGTATGGCCGCAGACACATTCTGACAGCACTTCAGACAGCAGCTTTGTGCCCCGCCAGCTGCTTGTTCCATGCCTACCATGGTGTTTTTGTACAGACAGCACTTCAGCCAGCAGTATGCTGTAGTCGGCAATCTTCCGTTTTGGTAAAGAGTGGGACAGGGAAGGGGTGATGCTACTGTAGTCGAAGGGTGGGACGGACGTGCAGTTCAGTTTTTGGGCACGCATACGGTGCTGCAGGGATTTTTAGGTGTACCTCTTCGGGCTCTTGGGTACCTTTTTCTCGTTATATGTGTGCGTGTTCTTTAGATCCTCAGATGGCTCTAGCACTTTCGTGACCACGGGCTGAGAGTATTCTGCTAGATTTTGGCATTTAGCAACTGACATATGGTTTAATGTAAAGACAACAACAAAAACCCCCACCCCGAGAAAAGTGCACCTTTGTGCAGGGGAAAATATTGTGAATTTTGTCGGAAACGGACCATATGACAATGTACCCAACGATGGTGTTAGATACGAATGGTGATTAGATAGACAACCAACCCCGTTCGCATTACCCAAGAACAGTGTGGGGAATCAGCACACTTTCTGGATAAACATGCAAATAGGGCAAGACATTCCTGGTAAGACTTGTATTGGTATGCATAATAAGCGCCAACATATGGCTACGCTCAAGCAATATCGGGCCTTCCCACATTGGGAAACAGTGTTATCTACTAGGTGTAAAATGTCGACGTTACACCGTCAAATGTGCCGATTTATTTGCTGTTAGATGTACTGACATTCGACTTTTCCAAGCTGCCACAGCCAGATTGATGGCTGACATGCTTGCACGTTTCTATTCTAGTCGACTTATACGTAATACGTTACACAATTTCATGTATACCTTTTTTCGTACCTCGCCAGTGACTGCAAACATCGCGGGTGTAAATGCACCTAAGGTGCGGAATTCATACTGAAAGAAAGTGGAGTTGGGTATTTGGAGTCGAGTAGATACGAATGAGTTTTTGGCACATTAGCCTGCGTGCGATTGTGTTTTGCTTTATTGGGTAGTGTCCCGATTCTTCGTTGAGCAATTCCTGGAATAGTGTTGTTGTGTTGTGTTCAAATATCGTGATGTCTATGTGAAAAACAATAACGCCTGTATGTAAATAATGACATAGAAATCATGTTCAAATTGCTTTTAGCGCTACCAAAACTGTAGTAGGAGCCTGATAGCTTATAGCGATGCGAAAATCTGTGGGTAACCGCATATTTGACCGTCGAAACCGCAAGGGGGAACACTGAAAATGAAACGTGTCCCTTGCAATTAGGATAATCAATTTCTGTACACCTTTCATAAAAATTCCCATACACCCAGGTGGCAAGGAAAACTTGGGGATCAAATTCCGCTTAACCAGAAATTTGCATTTCAAAGAGCCAGCCAGCGACATGGCTGAGAGGAGCACGCATGCAGTCATTCCAGTTTTAGCTCAGCCACCCACCTCTCTTGGATTGCGGAGCTAGCCGGCATTTCGGATCCAGCCGTTGTGCGATACTAATCATCTCCGATAGGACTTGAGGAGGATGGACTGTAAAAGCTGTAGAGTATACTGCACTGCGTTTGCTCCTTGCTACTGCTCTTGGCTGACGCAGGACTTCGAAAAATCCCCACAGGTATGAACAAACAAACTTCTTTGTGTGTGGTCGAAGATGGACTACGTCTCTGTACAAGCCCAACATGCCACCATCCGCAACATTCTATTGCTGCCGTTCACCTGTCGCCGTCCTTCCACGTCTACCTGTCCATGACACATGCTGCCACTTGATGCGACACCATCTGGGAACAACACGGACACAAGGAGTACCCCCGTACCCATACGCACAACCTCTTATTCCTCCAATGTCAAACACAAATGATGTAGCATGCATGAAATGATAAACTCTCTGTCTATACCCATGGTCCGCGCT